TTCAAGCTCATCCACATTTCATTCTGTCCTGCACGCCTACATTTCCATAAGGTGTCTGAATGATTTCATCCCTGAGAAGCTTCTCTGTGGCAGTCCTATGCTTAACTCAGGCACTCACCCTAGTCTCTGCTCACATATGAGGGGCTTGTTTCTCTCTAGAATCTGTCAGAGCTTCCTTGTAGACACTGGACTTCCTCACACAACAATGGTAATTGCTTTGTCTGGATTTTTCTTGTTTCTATGAGAGTCATTTACATCTTCCTACATCCTAACTGGAAGCAGAAGTTCCTCACGTGTCTTAAATTATCAAATAATGAAAGATGGTAAAAGAAGTGTCTTTTCCATTCCCTTACTGTTCCAGGCATCGGGAATTCAAAAGACTCTTCATGTCTAAGTAACATCAATACTGTGGATAACCTACCCCACTCAGGGCATGATGCCAGAGTTTGTGTCTAAGAAGTGTGCTAAATGCCAATGAATGGCTGACCCGAGCTCTCCATGAGCTACTTCCTCCTGGGAAAGCTATGTGTGACTTCCTTTGCTTTCCCAAAGCAATACTTTTATTAATTTGGTGACCAGAAGTTCCAAAGTCAGGTCCAAAATGCAGTACCCCATGTTACTAGGAAATATCACTTTGTGTTTTTCAATTGTGTTTGCTTGTGTCCTACAGCATACATATGAAAGCACATGCTTCAAAAAATAGCTCTTTTAAGGTATTTCAATGCAATCCCGTACTTCAGTGAAGTCCCTATATGGACGATAGCTGGATAATTATGAATACCTTTTACCTGTTTCTAAAATTGCTAAGGAAATTTTGAGCATCAGAAAATAACCTTACCTTATCTTAGTTCTTTAAAGAAGGTATGACTGGATATCGCACCTTAAAATAATTTGCTGGAAATCACATCCTTAACAAAGTTTGCAACAAGAAAATTAAATGGAAGTGTGATGAAAAATAATTATTTTCTGGTCAGTACACTGTTTATAGCATAATGGCTTAAAAATTTTTTTAATATTTTTGAATTTATCAATGGAACATTTTCTGCTTAATTATATTTGAGGCTCCTTCTCTTTCAGTCATGTTTATATTATAACATGATATGAGCCACAGTCAGTTCTACCTTCATATGAAGAATATTTTAATCTGCTTATCTCCAAAACACAAGTCCAATAAGTATTTGTTAAAGTTCATTGATGTCAGTCTTATGATGGTTCAGGTGGCATTATTATTTTGAATAAAGAGCAATGATGCTTTATTTTGAATAAAGAGTAATGATGCTTTCCATGGTACAGGCGCCTCAAGCTAAGTCTTATCTTTTGTGATGCCAGGCCAGTCCTTCAGGAAGTATCTTGCTAGATTTGTAGTTTCCTGCTTCTCTCTTCCTTGATGAGGCAGGCAAGTGTAGAGTGCCTGGTGTATATCTCCCAACCAACCCCAAATATCTTGAAAAGGAGAGGAAATGTTAGCCAAAATGCATTCTGCAGTCTGTAACCCCCCAAAAAGGGCCATAGACCAAGGATATGATTCATTCTGGATAATGTGAAAACAAAATCTCAGTGAGTTTGAGTGCCGTACTCCCAGGATAATTCCCAGGACCCCTGTGGGAAGGATAGAAGAAGAAGAGCAGGAAGGAACTTTTCTTTCCAGGAATTCATTTGTCAAGCTCATACTGACATGTGGAATTCCAGCACACGACATCAGTTTTGATTTTCTTTTATGCTTCCCATTGTTTCTTACTCTCCAGAAGATCCTCACAGTCAATGAGTGTAGTATTTATAAAATTTATGATTTCTCAAGTTCTCTCAGTGGAGGCAGCATGGCTATTTCCCATTCTAAAGGCACCGTGAAAGATTAAAGAACTGAACACTCTAGACTGGGAATATCAATCCATACTGGTTTAGGCCTATGAGCTCGTGTTCTTTCTTTATTGGAGTTTGGTGAGTGCTTACATCTTCAAGAAAAGTAGACCTAACAGTGTTACTATTTTTTTTAATAATTTTTTTTTTAGTAAGATGATCCCTAAATGTCTAATACTAGTCTGACCAAGGATAGTCTATTTTAAAAATAATCCTTTCCAATTTTGTCTTGTTTTGTTTTGATTGGAGTAGGGGAACACGTAATGAAAAAACCACACATAACTTTTGATAAGTATGCATAACTTGTTTGCATGAATTTTTCCCTTCATTCTATAAGTGTAAACATTTCTGATACGCTTGGCCTGGACTTTGCTTTACTGGGGCATTAAAATTGAAGGTAGCAAGTAAGAAATGAAAAAAATAATTCTGTTCCAACAAATGGATGGTATTTCTGTATTAAGACCAAGGCGTGTGCACTCTTGCCAATATCTCTTCTCTTACCAAATGGGTTAGGACTTCAGATGCTGAGATATTTCCCAGGAGATCGAGGGAGTGATTTAATACTCCTGGAAAGGGCTGAGTTCTTTACGGCTTGTACTATTGATTCTCCAGTAGCAGACTATGGATCCATTCAGAATAGTTTTTCCCCTAGCAAACCTGATAGAATTGCGGATCTGTTAGCTGCATTCCAATGTCAACTTCTCCAATGCCACACTTGATATGCTTTGAGAGCAAGGATAGATCATAAACCTCTCATACACTTCGTATACTCCTTTCGTGTACTTTATTTCCATCTCTCATTGCTTCCTTCCACAAACACTTACTGGAAACATTATGCTGGTGACAGGCACAGAGATGATAACCTATTTTCTGTTTGTTTAAAATTATTTATCAGAATGCCATTAATCTTGATAAGAGAAAATATATAGGGAGCATTTTGCTGAAATAATTGAAGTATTGATAGTGGCTTTAGATAGTTGAGATTTTGAGTTAAAATGAGTTACGATTGCTTAATTATGTTGCTTAAAGGAAGTCAGTGTCATACTAATAGGATGACAAAATTGAATATTGCAGTTCATCTACAGAAAAGAAAAATACAGTTCTCATTGTTTTTTCCTCCTTCATTATTGGTTTCATCTTCTGCATTTATGATGCCTCTACTGGGATCCACATATCTTACCCAACGTATCTTAAGGATATATTAAATAGAATTAATAAGAAGCTAACATCTGTGTGAAAGGAGATACTATACTAGGAAGGTACTTCACTGGAAAGAATTTTCAGAGTTAGTATAGGTATCAAAAATACATTGATGCTGTTGTATTTAAGCATTTTTTATTACTTGCATTTTTTATCATGAAAGGAATAGACAGTCCTTTTTCTATTGTGCCGTGAAAGACAAACTCTAAGGTCGCATTTGCCCTTTGGCTGCCAAATCTTCACTATTAGCACAAAAGTTCCTAAGCACAAGGGCTTGGTCTTCTTTAGTGGCCATGTCCCCAGCATCTACACCAAGCACAGAGTAGGAACTCTTTGATTTTTCACTGAGTGCACTGGTTCCCATGTATTATGCAATTACATGCATTTGTATGATATCCTATAGCTTTCAAAACATTTTTACTTAGGTTACTTTCATTTGACTATAACCACAGTTTTGTGAGGAAGGTAGGACAGATATTTTATCTTGGTGATACCCAATTCCAGTGGGTTGTGGCGGACCTAGGATGGGAGGGGGCCCAGGTCATAAGACTCCACTGGTTCTCTATATCGATCATCATCATTCAGCAAATGCTTATTATTGCTACAGGTCAGTCACTGTGTTAAGTATTATAACTGAATTATTCAACCTTTACCCCAGTGCCTTGACATAGTATGATCTTCTTTCTATTGTAGAGGCGAAAAACTAAGGCACAATGAAGTTAGGTAACATGCGGGGGTCACACAGCCATTAAGCATCGGCACTGGGGATTAGGGGCTCACACAGTGTGAGTTCCCAGCCTAAACTCTCTGTGTGGCCTACCCACAGTTTTTAGGATGTCCCTCTAAAAAGTTCGTTAGTACACATACATGAGCCCAATAACTGCCGTGGTGATTTCCTAATGACTTTATGAAATTATTTGCTACCATTGAAGTAGATGCTTGTTGAGTGTTTTGCTACATGGATAAGCCAGAGATAACTGTTGGTATAGGTTGTGGGTAAAGAGACAATGCAAAAGAAAAAAAAAGAAGAAGAAATGTGGAAATGCGATAGGTTGCCAGCATTATAGATGAGTTGGATTGGTCTCCTTTTCTCATGGAATAAGGTACCTCCCAGGTGATGGAGACTGAGTCTGAAAAAAAAAAAAAAAAGTATTCAAGGCAGCTGCATATTTGTCAGGTTAGGACATACCTACAGTCTCGTAAAAGGAGGAGAGCCGACCTGTGCCAACCAAGTGGGATGATCACGGCAGAGGAAAACCTTGTCGGAACTCAGCGTGTACTTTTTAATGACTGTTCTAACCTGCCTATTCCTGTATAAATGGAAGTTCTGTCTGCAGCTTGAGCTCTCCTCAACCGAGTGTGAAGTGAGTCTCAAGGTCCCAACTCAAATACCCACGGCAGCTGAGAACACACAAGGGGCAATACACACTGGCAATAAAGCACGGGAGTTGAGAGTTCAAGGACTATGTATGTAGGACAAGTACTTCAAAATCAAAATTGTTCTAACTGGAGTTTCGCTTGCATATGCAAAGCAACGCAGTAATAAAGTGGGGGGAGGTCGAGTAGACTCATTAACGTTAGTTGTAACCCACAGACCCAGAGATTAGATTCCATGATGATAAGATAATAGAAAGGCCTGTGCTCTCCATCTTGGCGGATAACAAATAGGCCGAGGTGGCCTTGGGCAAGTCCTATCACCTCTCCATCATCACTGCCTTGTTGGTCATGTTCTAGAGACTGAACTGTAAATCCCAGTTAATCATACCTAAGATACATAGGTAAATGTCTTCAATACCTCTTAATCATTTTCCAAGTATATGAGATATATGCCCGATACGTAACGTACACTCGTTGAACGTGAACTCTGCACCCACTGCCATTGTGGTACTCCTGGAGGCTACACCCAAAGTCATCTTTCCTCACTCAAATTTCCTTTTCCACAGAGCAAATTGGCCAGGAGATGCTGGAAAACCTCAGTCACGACAGAGAAAAGATACAGCGCGCACGTGAACGAGTAAGTAGAAGCGATACAGTTTTTTTCATAAATTCAGTAAACGAGAAGACATAAAACAAAAGGCCTTCAGCACATGCATACACAGTAGCAAGGACATAAATATAAGTGTGTATAAAAATGGAAACGGTATATGAGGGATGTCGGGGACGGGGACAAGAAAAAAAAGAGCGTGGAATCGAGAAAGAATAAGCTGACTCTTTCTTTCCTCATCCCAGAATGCCCCCAGGTAGATATTTTATTTAGCTCTATAACTGAGAAGGTCATGAGGGAGATTTTGGAGTATGTCAAGTCTTTCAGAGTGAAAGCTGTGAAGATAATGTTGTCTCCTCCTCCTTCAGTTTATTTCCTTTCCGTTCATATTTCTAGGACTTCACACCTTCAAAATTGGATTTTAATTATGAGATGTATATTCAACTTTGTCAGCCTGCGAGATATTTGCTTTTATAGCCAGTTCAGGTATCCAGTTTAATGCTCCTGGGATTACCTATCACATGTAGTTTTCTAAATCTAAGAATTTTTCAAATATTTTATAGCTATCAAGATGTATTTTAGTCTACTTAAGTATTTATTGCTAATTGGATTTTCATCCATGAAAAAAATTACTGCTTCTCAGTACACTTTTCAGAGCGATCCAACTGCATGACGTCTTGTTTTATTTTGTTGTAATGCTGCTTTTCTGCTCCTAGCTTCGGGAAACAGATGCTAACTTGGGGAAAAGCTCCAGGGTTCTGACGGGGATGTTGCGAAGGTAAGAACAAGGTAGGGACCTATCTTCCTCTCTCTCCCTTTTTTTGAAATGATGTTTTTCTTTTAGTTGCAACGGGGCATTTTCCAGCCATGCGAGCCTCTGCTCTGAGTACCTTGTGTCAAGACCCTTTTGAAATGACAGAGCACTGATACTAACTCTTGTTTGGACAGGAACACATACTGAGTAACTTAGATTAGAGAGAAGGTTTGAGCTAGGGGGGTTACCTCAAGCTATGGAAAAAATTAGGGTTAGACATGAAGTATTTTTTCATAGCCCGAGGAAGTCCCCATGGCAGGAGCACACTGATTTTATTTTCTATTTCGATAGCCTCCTTCTTCTAGAAGGAATGCGGGCCTGCCGGTATCAGGAGCACACTCGGTATTAGCTGTGTTTTCTCTCTATTGCCTTGTTTTCATTTCTTTCAGAGATGCTATTTGGGGGAACTCTTTGGATTTTACATATATTTAAAGATGCTTTTTAAAATTTAGAGATTATCTGAATAATCTGAATTCCCATGTAAACAAATGTTAATGTTTTATATCTGTCACTAACCTTTGACTGATGGAAAATATTGGGGAGAGTGTGAAAATCAACGAATGAGTGGGTAATATTCCATATTGTGTATTTTTCGGGGGGAAGTGAAAGTGTTTTCACTGTTCTGATAATTAGAGCCACTTTTTACACACATATATATATATATATATTCCACATGGCATTTTCTTACATTTGGAATCTACCAAATGAGATTATCATTTAGCATAACCTTCACTTTGGGGCTGTAGCTGGAAATGTGCATGAGGAATGGTGAGAATCGCCCCTAGGCTGCCTTCGTTGGAGTTTTAAAAAGAGAAATCCTTTGGTGTTGATACTCTGGGGACAACTGTTTTAGAGTCCACAAAGTCGTCTCTGCTCACACATCTGTATGTAATCATTCGCCAGAAGTGTGTTTGCGGTGTTCTCGAAGGGCACTCAAGAACCAATCAAAGGTGTGGTGGCTTGGTCCCCATCAGGCTGGTCAGTAGCGAGCCTAAAGTTCCCAGGACACTTCCAGCCAACACGGACCTAACTCCCCCACGTCCCCGCTTTTCCTGCAGGCACAGCCCCAATTCAGAAGCATAAGCCTCCAGATTCTCTGCTTAAGAGTAATATGTAAATGACCTAGAAAAACTCAAAATCCACAGAGAAGTGGCAATTGAAAGGAATGCTTCAGTGCCTATAGACAATAAAAAAGGAAAAAAGTCCTCTATTGCTTCCCTGGGAGGCCCTGCGATGTGAGCACGAATGTTCTGCATATGTCTCCATTTTGTCAAATCTCATTAAAGAGCCCTCCTGCTTTATGTCAATTGAGCTGTCCAGAAATCATTCATCATTTTTAGTGTAAAAAAAAAATCATGCGGTTATTTAAATAATATCATATTAATGTTAAAGTTCAGCTGTCATTTAAGGGCACGGCTTAATCAGATGTAGCATTTAGGAAAAATAGTTTATTCGGGCTCTACGTGGCTTTCAGGTTGGCAGATTCAAATAAGGATTTATGAGTTTCTAAACCAATGTATTTCTGTCCATGTTTCTGCTTGATGTACCTCACCCTTTTGTGCAAGACACTGCAGACAGCTATTTCAACAAATAAAGCATCTCCTCATATTGTGTTTGAATAAATTTGCAAGTCATTTAGAGAGGGCGAAGCACAAACACTTCTGCAACCTTTGATTGGGCTTTCTGTAGGACAATTAGACTAACGCGCCTGTTTCATAAGCCTATGGAGGGAAGTGACTCTGCGAAGTCTACTTGGGGTCCTCTTTGTAGGCCAGCTCAGTCCATCACTGACGCATCTCCTTTTGGGATCTGTCTAGGGTATGAACAGAAATAAAAATCCCCAGGTGGACCTCACCTTGCTATGGTGAGCCAAGGAGACACTTAGCGTCCCCCCCCCCCCCGCCCCCACCCCGAGCATATTGGTGACTCTGTTTTTTATAAGGGCTGAGCTGGGATCGTGGTATCAGCCAAGGTATCCAGATACTCTTAATCAGCTCTGTACCCGAACTGAGTCTCTGGGGAACCACATGCAGGTGGTGGTTCTGTTCAGTTTCTAATTACTATCCTACGTGGTCTGCAATTTAGTTTGGACTTGGGAAGAGGTAAAAATATTTTATCAACTTCTTCACTTCATTGTTTTTATTATTCCCTGGAAAACCAGTCTCTAGAGAAATGGAGCCAGCTTTTCTGTACCAAAGTCTTTAACTGAATGCTCTGATTTTGCTTCCTCTGTTACATCCCTCCTGTCCACGCGGCACTCCCTTCCAGCACCAGGGAGACTTTCTTTCCGAGACAGAAATCGCATTCTCTTTCCGAAACCGCGTAGCTATATTGCGTGTCAGCAGATGCTTCCGATTTAAGTAAAGGTATGATATCAAACCACATGCCTGTCTGTCACCTTCACACGTGTAAAAGAAATTAACGTCCTCTTTGTGCGGTATAGGCGTTTACCTCCATGCAACATAAGGTTCTTGATTCTCGTATGACAGATTCTATATGACTGGGAATATTCTACAATATACTAACCCGTGGACTTAATCTATTTAAAAGAAAGATTGCTGATTATTTTTATTTTTTTAAGTTTAGATCGTTTTAAATTTTGTGTATTGCAGGGAAATGTCGTGCCATGGCCCCTCATTTGGGTCATTTTATTTGTTTCATTAGTCTTTTGGGAAGACAGGTGAAACTAATGGCCTATCAGTGCCAAGGTCTGTATATTATCTGTAAGACTGACCAAAAAGCAGATAGGGAAATAAAAATGAGTAAGTGGCAGCGACCACCATTCATGCTTTTTACTTTTTTCTTTTTATTACCATCACATGAGATAAAAATATATATATATATATTTATTTCCTTCTTTTCTTCCTCCCCTCCTCCTTCCTTCCTTCCTTCCTTTTTTCTGCTTATTCACTTCCTTGGTAATTATTTAATGCCTGTGTACAAAGCCTTAGGAAATCCTCAAATGAGACCATTTTGATCCTTGCCTTCACTCTGCCAGAGAATATTGACTTAGGAAGTACTGAGGGAGAGGCACCTGGGTGGCTTAGTCAGCTAAGCTTCCAACTCTTGATTTCAGCTCAGGCCATGATCTCAGGGTCATTCAGATCGAGCCCCAAGTCAGGCGCCATGCCAGGTGTGGAACCTGCTTAAGATTCTCTTTCTCGCTCATTCTCTGCCCCTCCCCCACTTATGTGCTCTCTCTAAAACAATTTAAAGGAAAGAAAAGAAAAAGGTCCTCGGGGAATTCCTAAAATTAACGTAATTCTTAAGGAAGCTCTTGAAGATTCTGCAACTCCAGTGAATGCTTACTGGTCATTAAAAAGGATGCCAAGAAAACAACCAATAGAAAATATCATTCAAATAGCTGTAAAACCAATACGATTCAAAAGTTTAGAGGTGCAGGAGATGATTTATCAAATCATAAACAAGTTTTGAAAGGAGCTAAACATGCAAAAAGTTTGAGACCCGTCTAGTTTAATGAGGTAGCCACTGATTCAACCAAAATAAATAAATTATTCTTCACGTAACTACGCTATATTACCAAGAGGAAGAAAGCAAAGGAGAAAATTGGTCCATTCGAAATTATAACAGTGAAACTTGACATCAGAACACAGATATCAGTGATTTCCTGGAAAGTAATTTTTCTTCTGTCTTGACAGAAGATGGAGAACTAGCTAGGGACAAACTGCTCATTTCCTGAGTCTGTAGACAGAGTTTGGAATAAAGTGCTATTCAGATAATAATGAAAATGGTCATGAAACAAATGGCCATTCATGTGGTGACTGGGTCCAAAGAAATGAATTTTTCATTGACTCTCACAAAATGTGATTATTACAACTGCTTGTCTTAAAGCGTCACAAACAGTGCTGAGTGGCTCACATGTTGCCCTTCGTACATTTGCGTGTCTGTGCGTGTTTGTGTGTTTATTATTTCCTGTACAGCTGACTGGGAAGTCTTATTAGAGCAAACAGAGCTGGCGGTCAGGGAAAATGAAGATAGAACTTTGCAAGATTTTCAGTCAGAAAACAAAAGAGCTCGTGATTCTTTTATTTTCCCTTTACCTCTAAAGAGTGAATAATTGATCAGTAATCATATATTTGTTTCTAAACGTAGCTGAACGATTTCTTGCAAGTATAATAGTTATGATTTGAGATCTCCTTTGATGTAAATTTGGAGGACACATTACAAAATTTATGTTGGCTCATCAACTGCATGTTATGTCCTGGCAAAGGGCTTACAAAAAGAAACAGCATATGTCGTATTTTTTTAATCATCTTCTTCTATAGGATTACCTTAATATCAAATAATTTCCTCTCTCCCACACAGGACCTTTATGTGCCCCTGTTGTATTAAATTTTTTTCTAATTAAAAAAAATCAGAATGTTTCCTTCAAAAAGCAAATTCTTGTTTATCCTTCCTGCGCGCACGTAATAACTTGTTTAAGCAGGGAGCTGGTGAGCGGCCTTTTGTATCCCATCTGTAAGATAAACAAGCCAGATAGTATTAAAGTCAGCTGGGGCCTAGCCAGCACTATTCATACGTTCTTATGTAATACTTGTATTCTTATAAGAGCTACCTCTGAGTCAGTCTGGGGAATAATTGCCACCTATCATTGCTATCACATTTTACCTTTTAAACATGGTTTTGTTGCTTTGGTAGAATGACAGGTAAAACATCTGGAAAATTTTAATGTACTGTCAAAATGATTCGTAAGGGTAAGTGTACCAGAAATAGTAATACAAGACCAATGTAAGCATTGGAAATACACATTTTTTTAGTAAACAAATTTATTCTTAAAGAAATATGCTACAACTCAGTGTTTTGTTTTATTTTTTTTTTTAATCTTCTTTGAAAATTCATGCTCCTGCCCCACTCCATTTTGCTCAGGAAACATTTTGTTGTATTTTAATTATTCTTACTACAATAGCTAAAAATTCAACAGTAGAGAGTTTCCAGGACCCGTA